GCGGGAGAACTAGTATAAGACCGAATCATTAGCATTACCGCATAATGAGAGAGGGAGATACCAGTTGAGACCGAATTATTAGCATCACAGAGAATGGAAAACTAGATCCACGAATGCTCTGCATAACAAGATTACCATCCCCAAGATACCACTAACTTTCTGCTTACCTTCCCAATCAAGGTGGCAGTTTAGCGTCATGCCGAGAACGAGTGCTTACTTTGTTTAGCGTACGGCGAATAAGCGCTTACTTGTGTCTGCCCGTACAGGCGGACGAGCGCTTACTTTTGTTTAGCGTACGGTAGACGAATGCTTACTTATTTAGCGTACGGCGAATGAAAGTTTACTCGTGTCCCGCCGCGAGTGTTTACTTTGTTTATCCCGCTTCAATACACCTTTCTCTTTTGCTATATTTAAGCAAATATCGTTTCGTTATTTTGAAGTGTTTTAAACATTGCTTAAAAAGCTTGGTTAATGTTATAGCGCTTATTTGTCTTGAGACATGTTACTTCAAGTGTTGTTGTTACTAGTTTTTGTAAACCAGTTTTTGTCATATAAGCGCTTAACTTGCCTAGCATAGTACTTTGCTGTGCTTTGCTGTTATAAACGTTACTCCCACTCACCACTTCATTCATCATACCCCACCCACTTACCATACAGTAGTTTATCGTGACAGAAATCTCAGTTTGAATATATAACGATAGGTTTTGGCTTGGACGCGGAAAATATATTACGCTTGCGGTTTTATAAACTGGTATTTCTTTACTCGCGCTTCTTTTCTGACAGTTATCACCGTTCGTTCGCTGGCTTAAATGATTAATATTATATGTTGGCTTTCGTTAAACAGTCGTCGTGTCTTGAGAAGTTTATACTTGAGAAAGTGACGGCGAACGTGTGCTGAAGGTTTCCAGCTATATGATTACGCACGCCCCCCCTTTTTTTGCCCATCGTTCTCATTTATTCTTTTGTGATCTATTGTCTTACGTCATTGCGATTGCCGATAAAAAATTAGCGTATGTTTCTAATTTTAGTAACTTGACCTTCAAACATTTGTAATTTTGCACTTAAAATTACCAGCTTGTTTATCCATGACTATTATTGCTTTCGCTAAAAGCGCTGTTGCTATAGCAAATTTACACTTATTATCTTGCTTTTGAAAAAAATCAAACAAGTCGTTTACTCATAACGATAAGATTTGTTGACTTTACCAGAATTGACGTTGTTTATTATGCGAAAAAGACACCTTGATTCGATCAAACTCAAATTTCATACATTTACGATGTTTGTTATCCCTGGCCTTTGTTTGCCTTTGTTTCTATCTATAGATATTGCAAATTACAGTAGGACATTGTTCTTTTAATTATTTTATAATGTGACATTTCAAATCGTGTAATTTGTCATTTTTAATACGATTAATACGAACATAGTACTATGCAAACATATTTATGATACAATGTTACTTCTACTTGGAAATATACGACAACTCTTGTGATAAGTTACTCGCCTAAGAAAAATAATGACATCAGATAGTTACATACAACTTATTCAGTCCTTTTAGAGAATCATATCGGTAAGAAGTGCAGGGATATATAAAATATATTTATGCATTATTAACGAGGGTATCAACTATAACCGTACTTATATATCCAAGATAACGTTATTGTGTTTTAGAATTGGATAGACTCGTATGTAAATAAAGTTTATGCAATCGGCAGGAATGCATATCGATTTTACCGATACTAATATGCTTAATTGTGTATAAGATTTACCATGCGCGATTGAATATCACCGTTCTAACACACGTTTTATATCTACTAATTGACCAAATTTTATGTCAAAAAGAAACATGTCAGCAATCGTAAAATCCCGAGACTGTATCTGAATACCAGGCTATTGTCATATACTCCGGTCAGGTACTATATTTGTTGATATCCGAAAGGATGATATTAGCAAAGGCAAGGTCTAATTTTATTCGTAGATGCAAAAGTTTGATTCACACGTTTAAATGTGATACAGTCTATGCAATTGGTGTTCGAGACCGTTTGCATGAGGATACAGGAGACTTATGATAATTAACTAACATTGGTGCACGCGTAAAAAGTTTTCTCATTTACATAGCTTTGTTTTCAACGCGAAAATTATCGATAGCGTTCATAAACAAAAACTTGTATTAAAGCACAAAACGACGACATCTACTTTTCTTTTATTCACATAATGGTTTCAAGTACAATATGGAGACGAAACAAAAGTTTTAAATTTTGACAAGACCTCACTTGGAGTAAGCGTTCAGAAATTAATTTTGTTATTTTTGTATACTTTGTTATTGACTCTTTGGCATTATAGCTTCATATCAGTTTATTTTATGGAACTTTGACATCCCATGTGAGTATTCACACACCTGATATTTTGTTTCTATTCGTTTTCTACGTTTTATCCTTAGCTACTAATTGTCTATTTCTATGCATTTTTCCGACTCTCTAGTACTAAATTGTTTATTTTATCCGTTTCTGACCTACTAATCTTTTACTTCTACAAAATTTCTAACTTACTAAACTGTTTATTTCCATCTGCTCCTGATATACTAAATTGTTCGCTTTTGACTTGCCAAAATTGTAACTGGTTATTGTTTGTAATTACTCCTGTACTGTACAAATATCGGTAAATAAAGATCCATACAATTGAGGCAACGCAATCATATCTATGTGTGACAAACTATAATTAGATGTGACAAATGTTTACGTGATTGTGTAACCTACAAACTATTAATAACGAGCGTTTCAGCATCAGCCTGTTTCAGCTTTTCATTCCCACAATCTATTCTCGAAAAATGGCCATGTCTAATGGAACGAAAGTTTCCACTTCTCTTAATGGTCCGGTGAGAGATGTCGATTGGTACCGTCAGCTTTGGTGGAAAACTGGTAACATACATCCCAAAGCCAAATGGGAAGAAGCGACGTAAGTATCCTATTCGCTTCAACGATTGGATATTTTATAAGCTAGTGGCTGATACCAGCTGTTATTTATCGTCAAGATTACTATACGAACTCAAGACTGATGTGTCGCTTGATGAGTATACAGTATTTTTCAGACCGAGAAACATAATGTCAAGAGTCGTTGGGAGTGGGAAAATGGAACCGTTCGTGTTATCGAACGTCCTTCAAAATTTCACGACGTTTGCGTCAGTACCATAATGAAGTTTTTAGGCGCGTTAGTTTTTCCTGTAGCAAGCACTAATTTTGATCTTATGTTCTATGGCGCGACGAGTGAGTGTTTTGTTGGGTTTTATGCTACTATGTTCCAGGTATGTTTCTATTACTCATCATCTTTGATTCATAGCAACAATATCACATAGATCAGCCAAAGGAGCAGATGGATCTATTTGACCTGTAGGAAAACTTCAGGTGCCCCGCGGTGGATCTGATGGAGGGGTATGGAAAATTTATCTCATTCGCTTTTAATGCGATTTATGTTGAGAATTCTAATGTTAGTAATGACATGTACTCTTAGAATGAACCCTGGCCAAGTCTTATAATAGAGGTTGCTTATGCCGTAACTGAGGCGGAACTTTAAGAGGAAAATAGAGACTTACTGGCTCGCTCCTAATAGAGCTCACGATGTAATTGGCATCAAGTTAAACTATACACCGAGTGTGCGTCCAACGGAGATGACGGTAAATAATGACATGAGGATTTAATTTCTGGCATTTGCCACTAACATTATTTAAATTATTCTTTAACAGGCTTGGCATTATTGTAGAAGTAATCGAACACCCTTTGGTGGATTCGCCCCCATCATGGTACGTTATATTATTACATGCTTTTTTACCACAGAATTGAATAAATCTAATGTATTTCCAATTTAGTATGAATTCGGCATGGTTGACCGTCAAGACAATCCCATCAATATTGTACCGGGGGCAATGCGTGAACAATATCTCATTGAGATGCTTTTATGATGGAATGCCACCTACTTTCACGATTTCCTCACCCCTCTACCTGACCCTATTCCCCTTGATCTCTTTCATGTTCGGTGGCTGTATTAAATTGTTAATCTGAGGGCATGTCACAAAGTGTCATAGGTATCATTTTTTTGCGATCGTTTTATTAATATCTGTAAAAATTATTTTTACTGCAAATTGCGTGTAAGCGTTTCTTCGAATAAATATAAATAGAATTGCGAGGATGTTATATTTCCCTGGACGATTGCATAAAGCATTTTCATTGTCAAGACGCCCCGGTGGTATAATTTGTAGATCACGATTACGGTGATGAAATCGCAAATAAAAAATATCGGGGACGTTGAACTGCATTTTAACCAGGAATAATAGTTGATTAATTATTATCTGTCCTTGACACTAGTCCACTATTGTATGTTCGATTCTGTTTTGACAGATTTTATTGTACAATCGATAATTTGATGATATTTCTTCACTTACACATCTTGCAATTTCGATCTGCTTTATACGTACTGAAAAATAACGACTTTACACATCATTGGTTCTTTAATTGCGTTCTAATTCAAGGTAATAAATTGTAATAAATTGTAATAAATTGTCAGCGATCATAATGGAGCTAGTCTCATTACTATATGTCGAAATCGTAGTTAAAGCGATTTACGGATTACACTTGTATCAACAAGTGGTATTAGTATTGTGATCGTATGCTGATTGTTGGGGGTACCCCCTGATTATTATTATGACCGAGAAATAAAATCACAACCTAAAATTTGATTGCGTAATAATCGTAAGTGCCATTACTTCATAATACATATACGTTTCATCCATCTGTGACCACCCCTGAAGTAAAATCACATGCTTGAAATCGATTGCGTAACACAAATGTTCGATCAATTCCAAATCTGATTGTCTAACTCGTGACATGAAGTAAAGTTTTTCGCTGTATAACAAGTGAGGAAGTTGCCCAAGTACTTCGACGACGAATTTTGGCCGCCCACGATACTACATACTGACAATGGCTCCGAATTTACTAGCCAAGTAATTCGTGACCTAATGAATAATTGGCCAGGAACGAGAATAGTTCGAGGACGTCCCAGGCATCCACAGCCACAAGGGGTAAATCAGCAAAATGGATGCAGAGGAACCGTTCTACTTTACAGTCACAAGGTTTAGATCATGTTATTTATGCCATACGAGATATTGTCGCGCGACGAAACTTACTCCATATGAGTTGGTCTTTAGGCGAATTTGAGATTGTTCAACAATTTACATACAATATTTGATGAAAGCAATCTAAACCTTGAGTTTGAGGAGCCGATATACCCCACCAACTATCATTTAGAAATGGAGGAAAATGAAGAAATCGAAAATGAAGACAGCATAACCGAATTGAGGTAAATATAGTTTTATAATATTGTAATAAATAATAATATTATTAATATAATGTTTGCATACGTTAAATGTATAGCAAAATTCTTTGTGTCAAGCGGAAGCAGAGGAGAAGGAAGCTCTTGAAAAAGATGAGCTTGTTACAGGAGAGACGTCTTCTGAAGAATATTTTCGTAGTAGAAGAGAAGAAAAGTTATTAAAAATTAACAACCAATTATCATGCACATGCCTTAGATTATACATAACAATTTTTTACTTCTACTATAGGCATGGCGTCAATGTCAATTTAAGCCGCGGGCTAGCAGGGGGAAATCAGACCTCAATACGTTCTTTGATCGAGCTGGCCATATGGATGCTGAGCTTTGGCCAGAACTTCAAGAGCAAGTTACAGCATTACTGGAAGAACGGGAATATATTAATACACTTCCGTTATAAAAACGATCAAAGGCTCAATAAGCGATCTCAGAAATTTCAGAACGATGAACGATTTCCCCAAACAATTATCTCAAAGGAGTGATGACGTTTGATGACTGACTACAGGATGTCATACAATGAAAAGCCATACAAGATGTACGTATTATTATGTATGTATTATTATGTGCGCTCAATATTTGTATAATTAATAACCCAATTATTTATGTAGGAAGAGAGAATGGAAGAAGAGACAGTTGGGAGTAGTCACGTACCAAAAAAAAGAAAGGTAAAGCAAACTGTAAAGCGGAAGTGAGAAGCAACAGCCATTCAAGCTGTTGGCAGACATTACAGTTAAAGTTTAAGCAAGTTATTATTATTATATATATTTTTGTTACAATAACACACGCTTCGACATTATTCATTATTATATATTATTTTTTGCAGATCAAACCATTCAAATGCCATGTTTCTCAAAAAGTTTCAACACACATTTCTCATGCACGAAGTTGGCTACAAGTGGTCAGTACTATTAATATGACAACATTTGTAGTACATGCCACACACTATGTCTCTGGGACTGGTCCTACAATACAACTTTTGCAGAATTAGAATTTGATATACAAATCCATCACAATTCTGATAAAAAAATTGCAAGAATCAGCTCAAAGTATCTGTTGTCAGCAAACTAGATGTATATAACAACAAACTTTATTCAGAGTTTCATAACTTTGACTTTCTTTCCCTTGACACATCTCCTCAAATTACTCCAACCAAATACCCCATGACCATTCAACCCAACCTCTTTCCCAGAAAAAAGAACACTCATGTACAAATCACTCTTTGACAATTTGAAAACCACCAACCCCTCCTACAAAACGAATCTGAACTGATAATACCACAAATCCAACATCTTCCTCTTCTAAACCCTCAAAAATTTAAGACACTGATTCTGTGGTTACAATTGAAAGTGATTGTGATTTACCAAAAGCCATTAAGCAAGAAAAATGGTAAAGCCTCCAAATAGACAATTACATTCATATATTAATATGTCAAACAGAATTACAGACTTAGCATCAACAAAACTAACACTGAAATGCATGAGTGATCACAATTTCACTCACATAAATAAATAGTTTGCCTATAAGCTTCTGCGATACATTGTCAGTAGTGGAATAAATAATCTGGAAAGTGGTCTGCTGAAGAAATGTTCCTACTGCAAACTGTAAATAGCAGGCTATAGTGTTGTATGTCGGATTAGAATTTATGTCCATTCCGAATGGACATGTATGTCAGATTGGAATCATAAAGACAATCATGTAACAACATTATAAAATTATTTTATTAACGTTAACATTACAATATTAACTCTACTGCATATTAACATGTTATGATACAAAGAACGATGTACTAATTAACATTACTGTATTGACGATTATGAGGGTGGCAGTTTAAGTTACAAATGACAGCAGCTTTGCGACAAGCACATCGAGCCGTTGATCAACTAGTCTTACAACTACATCTAATCTTGTTTAGATTGGCCAAACTTTGAGCCGTACTGGCTTTATTATTTTGACAGAATGCTTTGAGTTACAGAATGCGTTTAGTAATTGTCTTTCTACTTGTAGACAAATACAATTGTGAGAAACCATCGCCTGATCTGACATATCATTGCGAAAGAATGCTTTCAGTTACAGAATACGTTAAATAGTCCTTATATTGATACGGGGATGCAAATAAGTAAACATATCATTGTGAATATGCTTGAAAATGTTAGTGAGAAGAACTGAAAAACGAGCAATTCCTTTGATTTGTGCGGAAATATCGCCTGACTGACATACCATTGTGAAAGAATGCTTTTAGTAAAATTATTCAAGATTTAACCATATCTCGGTTTAAGCTTAAGATGTCGCGACACACACATCTACCAGCCAGCTTGTCAACCAAATTTGGCTAAAATACGGATAGATCGTGTGAAAATTAACAACTCTGCGCTTTTCGATTTAGTAGTAGCTACTACCAACCCTTGTGGATGATTTGGTTTAGTGATAAGCAGAATGGTAGAACGGCAATGTACTGTTCACTATCGCCATTGTTATTATTGCTTGATGAGTTGAGTTATCAAACAAGTTTGTGCTAATCACGACTGGTGTGTGGTTTTTGCGAAGGATTCAACCATACGACTTGTGGTTTCTGTCTGTATGCGCACAATTTGTCGAATAATTTGATAATCAATAACGGCTCTTAATCAACATTTAGAATTGTCAATACTAACTATACGTACACTTTATCGAATTTTCAATTCCTCCTCATTGAATGAATCGTTCTGCGAGTTGTTGAAGATAATTAGCAGAATTCACACTATTTTTTTTAAACCTCGGATTGGCATAGTTTTGTGAGAATAAACATTATTCTGATCACATGTGTTATACGATTCTTCTTGTGACAGTGATACATGCAATGGTCTTCCAAATAAACGTTCTAAACTTTCAAATTTATACGTATGTAAATGCGGTCTGGAAATTTGACAGAGTTTACATTGTGATATTATTACATATGATGGTAACGAAACGTTATAAATCATAGTTTAACTGTCATAATCGAAGTGCAGTAATTTGTTACGTGTAATACTATTTATTGTATCATGAAATAAGATTCAAGTGTATATGAACGATATAATATGCAAGTGGTAATATCACAAGTAACTTGCGCTTATATAAATTAGTTATTTAAACTTACAAACGCTAAAGTAGCATATATTTAAAACAAACTCAGTTGTTATACGCAAGTAGGGTTGATATCATAATGCCAATAAATGATTTTATTACCTGGTTGTCTTTACTATTCCAATCCGACATACATGTCCATTCGGAATGGACATAAATTCCAATCCGACATATGTCCATTCCGAATAGACATACAGACAAACAAATCTTTTCCGCGCTTTTGCCATACGACAATTTAATAGAACTTACATCCAAACGCTTCTCTTTATTACGCTCGTCACTTATATTACAGCGCAAGTACAGCAAACTGATCTTTATTGCCGCTATTCTATATTATGGGTGTGTAGTCAACAGCCGAGATTTTGTTAACAAAAACGGTTTTTAATAAAACTCTCTCCTACTATCGAATAAGGAAAGTAGTTGTACTGTTATTTTTCCCCGTACCTTGCGCCCGGAGTCACTATTGTTCGTACTAAAGTTTTGCTACTACCAAAAAAAAAAAAAAATAACCAGTCACTTATCGCTTGGAACAACTCCCAATCAAACAATTTTAATGAAGAGACGACATACATCTTGAAGAAACATTGAAGCAATAAGGATAGAAAAGTAAGCGAAAATTGGTATACGTTAAGCATTACGCATTGTGGATAAAGCTTTTAGGCTTATTTTTTACAAGTAGATGAGTACTATGAATCCCAGAAGGTATTACCCAGAAAGTTAGCAACAGATGCAACTTGTCCAGATAATAATGTCAGAACTCAAATTTTTTAGGTTGAATCAGATTTCCAGAAACTTTTTCGACAAATAATGCATCGATTATGCAAAATGACGTCAGTACTTTTGAATGCTATACTTTGAATTTGTGCCAAAATTACTTGATTAAAATCTCAAAATATATGCCTTCGTCTAGTGTCTTGCAGAATCGTCAGAGAAATTTGCTGCGAGTTAAATCAGAAAATGGACGCCTAGCGATAATGTCAAACTTTAAACCAATGTGTCGATGCAATTATTCGATTAGCTGCATTATATGTGTAACATCAGATGCAGACGTCAAAATACAATCTAGCCATAATCGTATAAATTATTAACTGTAATGCCAAATGTAACCATGCTGCTACCATGCGAACTAAGCCAAAGTTTCCCAAATAACAAAACACAAACTCTGCGAAGCGTATCTCAAGCGTTGCTAGTTAATAATGTAAAACAAATAATAAAGAGCCAATTTTTTTCTTACATCGTCATCTTGTACTACGAATTTATTACCTAAGCTTGCAGGCGTTTTTTGACTGCTACACTGTAGATACGCCAACTCCGAACTTATCGTATAGTTGCAAATCATAGCATCATATGTAGTATTCTAACTAACAGTTGAGGCCCATATATACACTGACGATTCCTATGTAACTGACTATAGGCCGGGAAGAACGGGGTATGTTTGATAAAACAGCAAAATGATGGACTTTAGCTGCCTTCGTACTATTTACATAGGTAATGTGGTAGTTTTCATAGTACAAACGAACTTATTGTAAGTACAGTATCCGCTGGTTGCAAACAGTCGGCTATATTAGTCGATCAAGATTTATTGCTGAGTAGATGAGATGAAGACAAGCGTTATTTTTGTCGACGGTTTATGACATATTTGGTTAACAGCCCTCCCATATACCAATGTGTTCAGGGTTGTCACAGTTTACCTCTGTCCAAAGAAAAGTTAGTATAACTCTGGGACGAGATGGTGATGACTTCAATCTTAACGTACAATGGGCGTCAAAGATCATATTGTAATGAGTGATAATATGATTGAGAAAGAAAGGACTATTTATAGACATTTCCGTGTAAGATTGTATTTCTTTTATTAGACATACCTGCTTGATCAAGCAGATAAAAACTCGTATAACAAATCCCGTCTACCCGTTATGTGACACCCGCAAGATATTTGTTACACCCAAGTCTTTTATGAGAATACCCGTTAACACAAACAACTTTTAGTCATGGGACATGCCACAACATTTAGTCATGGGACATGTCACTAAATTATGCGGTAATCAGACATCTTACATCACGATAGTCAACTGGTAATTTTATTATAAAACTACGAATTACTTCCTTATTTTTGTGAGCTACGCATTCTATCTTTGCTTCTAAATATGTCTAACGGTAAAGATATATTTTATTGAATTTCTACAGATTGAATGACATTTGTCTTTTTTTGACTGTCAAGTGTGACTGATTTGTTTAATAAATAAAATTACTAAAGCTAATGCAGATAAAGTGTGGATTCTTTCCATTGATGGGGGAGGAATTCGGGGTTTAATTCCGGCCATGGTACTTGATGCACTTGAGCAACAAGTATCTAAGAAACGAGGAAAAGATGTTCGAATTGCTGATATGTTTGATATGGTTGCTGGTACTTCGACAGGCTCTATTATTTCTTTGGGGCTCACGGTGTCAGATGACGAAAACCCTGGTCGTCCAATGTATCGGGCATCTGATTTGGTAAAATTTTATAAAGAAGACGGAAAGAAGATTTTTAGCTCGATTTTCCGTTGGCGTCGGGTTACAATAAAGGCGGATGAGCCAGATGAGACGGAACAAGGACCCGCAATTGATATATTTAATTCCACATATTGGAAGAATCATACAAAAGTAAATGAGCCGCCTAACGACTTAGAAGGGCCTCTTCATCCTTCATATTCTCCTAAATCACTTGAAGAATTATTAAGTGATAAGTTTGGAGATAAATTACTTAATGATATTGTAAGTAATGTAGATGTGCTAGTTCCAGCGTATAACATAACTGAGAAAACAGAAGCGTATTTCACCAACGACGACGATACAAATTCTTATAAAATATGTGATGTGATTAGAGCTAGTACCGCTGCGCCTACTTATTTTCCGGCAAAACAAATTGATGATAACTACTACGTAGATGGAGGCGTTTTTATTAATAATCCAGCGTTTAAAGCTTATTTGGAGGCAAAAAAAAATTATCCTCAGGCAACAAAATTTGTAGTATGTTCTTTAGGAACAGGATATTTTCAAGCGGACTTAGAGAATCTGGCAGACAGTGGATGGCTCGGTTGGTTAAGTCCATTACTTTCTCTTATGATGAATGGATCAAGTAAACTTACAGAAAATTATTTAGAAAGTCTTGTAACTGAACAAGATTTTCATTATTATCGCCTTCAAAGTGATTTACCGGAAGATATTCCTTTGGATGACACAAGAAAGAAGGCGCTTAAAGAACTCGAAAAGGTTGCTAATGGGATCATTAACAGTACTGACTTTGTAAATCTGGTCGAGGAGATTGTTGAGAATCAGGAACTAAAGGATCAATAAGCGAAGTAATTATTTGAATTGACGTATTTTCCGCCAAGTACATCAGACACAGCAGGTGTAACATCTACAGAAATGCAAAGACAGTCTACTATACGGCCAAATTTAATAAGTATGTGGGTAACTGAAAAGTTTGATTATATTATAACAGATGAATAAAATCTATCGTATAGCATTTTAATATAAGTTACATGTATCAATTAAGCACTCACTCTAGTACTCGCAATAAAACAACTGTTTATTGTCGGTTGTCAATACAAAGTGTGCTATCATGATAACATTACTCCTACATTTTGGATTTTCTTTGTATGTTTTCTGAGTTTCGTCGCAGAATACTAAATGTATCTTGGCGACATCAAGTGGAGCGCGTTGTGTTAAAGTTGTTCTTGTTAAATAAATATGGTGTGCCAAAACCAAGTCTCTGTTTTATAGAACTAATATACCAAACATTTACAGACATTAAAGAAAGCTCGATTCTAAACTCTCTACCAAAGCTGCGGTCATTATGATATATCAAATATAGATCAATTTAAGCTTTTTTCGGGATCTGATGAATTGACATCATCAAATATATAAAATTATCCCTTTTGTCCCGGTTTCAACGTAAATGTTTTCAATGGACAATATTTTTGTGGTTTAGTTGTTCACAACGTTTCAAGTCTTGAAAATAACATAACTTTGAAGGGCGCTAAATGAGAATATTTTGCCCAAGTTTTTCACTCCAATGTTTGTTGACTAGAATGTTTCCAGTTGATGTTGTGTCGGATCAAAAAAAAACCCGCAGAAGCGTTTGTATAAAAGACCACGGCCAATTTACTTTCTGATGCCGGTTGTTGCCTCATATATTATGTCATATTAATTACGACGTCCAATTTTGAAGCGACCCATAAAGCAAATATCGCTTTATCTACTTAATTGTATTCAAAAAATTATTACGCTATCAATATATTGATTTCGTGTAATATCAACAAAATTTCGGACGAGCTCAAAAATTTTGTCTTCGAGTGGTTTCTTCCGTGTCATTTCCAACGATTCTTATCAGATAGAAGATTGGGATAGTAGATTGAATTTAAATTATTCAAGAGCAATTGTTTTATTGTCGCTTGTTATAGCAAACATTAAAAATTTTCCCTACCTTTATCCGTACAATACAGTATAAACTCTAACCGCTTTTTCGCTTGCATTTCTGAATTACCATCATATTCCCAACATATTAAGCGTCAATGCGAGACAATAACTCTGACTTTTAAATGTATTTTAGTATCAAGAGACTCAACATGTGCTTTTCCATTGCTATCTCGGATTGAGTTGTTTGCGTCCGACTTATCAGCAAGAGAGGGCCTAATTGTTGTCGTATTTTGTATTTCTGAATTGTTTATTGAGGTGGGATTGTATTGACACGTCGAGTTTAATCTGAAAATTGTCTATTGCCTCAAGTGTCATTGCTTGCTATGAGTTCAAAAGTGCAGGTATAACATTAATATTAAAGGTTGATTTAAGTCACGTGCTATTGTCATTGAACGTTTAATTTTACTAGTTGTCTTAGTTTTTGACAGTAAAATACTTGAGCGTGTCACGCCATCCACCCAAAGCACTAACTTTTGACAAAAAAAAGATCCGTCAAAATGAGGTTTGTCGTTACAAAATGGTTGACGCAAACTTGACTATTATGTTTTAATGCTGTCTTTATTTGGGGGGCATGCTTATTCGATATTTCTTGCCAATTAAACGCGCGCTGTTAAGTAAATAATGAAATGTATGCCATGTTTGTTTCTAAGAAAATGGTGCAGAGTCCGATTATTGTATATATTTTATTGTATATATTAGGTATGGACTTAGATTGCATATTTATAAACAGCAATCAATGACGTATTCCTAACGATCATTATGTTATCTTCGACTTTTTAAATTTTTGAATTGTTGTTATGGGATACTTCTGTTTGCTATTTGTAGTTGGCGTTTACTAGGACGAGGCATTTTATGGAAACTTATCAATTAGTATACGATTACGATCAATGCGAACAACCAATTTGGTGGTATATCACATGGTATTAAATTATTGGATTTATTAGACTGTTTTTTGTTTCGTTACACTGCATCAACGAAATTAAAACATTGTCGAGTATAGAGTTGATGCACAATAGTAAATATTCGATATAGTCAAGAAAAACCCTCGTCCCGTGACTTTACTATATTAATATCGAGTCTTTGTAGTTCTTATCTCTAGACATGTTTTTCCTTTTTACCCCTTGACTAAAGTCTTACAATGCACTCTTGCTACATATTTATATTATAAAATTGCGTATTCAACCCAAACTACTGCAGAACTCTCTTGCTAATAATCAAATATGGCCAATCACAATTCTGTACCCACTGTTGTAAGAATAACTTGCCTACGACAACAGGCATTAAGAAGACTGTGAGAAATAGATAAGATACCAATACCGAGTTTAACACATGTAGTAGGACGGCTGTTCACAATATATTCGGAATTTATGATGCGCGTTTATTGCACAACAAATCGTATTTTGCCAGAAGGTGGATACTATAAACTTAATGATTCAGTTGTTCATATGGTATAAATTTAATGTTGGTATTAGTTTTATTTAATGGATAGCAGCTGAATAAAACATGATAATCATATGATTTAAATGTTATCTTTATTGTACACAATAGCAATAAATTAGTTAATGGATACTTGCTTATCAGTTATTTTTTTCACCACTTGCTACAAATTTTGCACCTTGCTAGTTATAGTAATATGCAATTAAAAAGGTCTGTAAAATCGTCTAAGTATACGCCTTGCCCTTCCAATACATTTTGTACTAACTGCATTAATATCAAAATATATTGTCAGGAATTTCAGTGTGTCTTTGAGATGGTCGAGGATAACATTAATATGTGCTTCAGTCATCACGCATGTTCTCCCAATTGTTAGCGACCTAAGAGGAGGTCTTGATCCAGACAAAAACTTCTTTAATGAATCAACGTGGCAGCTGTCCATATTTGATAAGCTCAAATCGTGCAAATGTGAGAGTTGATGTTTGGCCAACTCATTAAAAAGATTACCAAGAAAAGGAGGGTCTCGTTCAGACAGTGAATTTATTGTCAAGGAATGCAAATTTGGTATGTTTGCCAACATGCACACAACAGGCATTATCAATTCTTTGCTCATGCTGATATCCAACTGTCTGAGATTTTGACAGATACTTGACACAATGTCAACATTGCTATTAGATAATTTTAGCGTTGCACTAGTTAATGACCTTCCATGCTTTTGCAACATTTGTTTCATAAACTTAATTGGTATAGTAATACCTGGATCAATAATAAGTTGCTGTAGATTTGGTAAATCAGCCATGATAATTGATGCCAATCCATGCGTACTTATAGTTACACACTGTCCCAACTTCAATCTCTTTAACTGAGGAAATTTGAACGGTCCAAATTTTGAGTCATCTGAACCAAAATCGGTATGCTCGAACGAGAGCCATTCAAGGGAACTCGATTGCGTCTGTAGTAGTTCCAACATAAAGTCCATGCCTATATTCAGCTTTCGTATTCTAACTGTTTTTAGCCGATGCTGAGATCGAATGAGAGCTTGGAAAGCGTCCATCGATCCTTCGTCGAGACAATTCCGTCTGGTACGAAAATCAACTGATATCAACTCTAGATTATGCGCAACCTTTGATAAGGCAATAAAGACCTCTTTGTGTGAATAATGAGAAGCCCAGATAAAATTTCTCAACTGTGGCAGATCTCTGGCAAATGCCAAAGATTGAATTAGCAATATTGATGGAAATTTGTGTGGAAAAAATAGTGTTTTCAATCGAGGGCAATATTGGATGGCAAATCTAATGATTCCGACTGCCATTCTATCAACTAGATCGTGAGAGAACTTACAATCATCCAACTTCAGATGGCACCATTTGCAGAGGAGGTCTTGCACCTCCCCAAAGTAAATCTCTTTCAAGTATAGGCTATAGTCGAAAATTAACTTTTTGGAATGCTTCCTTTCCAAATACAAACTAACAGATTCTTCTTTGATCGATTCCATATCAGTAAAGCATTCAATAAACGTCGTTAGAAGATTCTTTGCCTTTCGCCTATAGTCATCGACACATCGATAACGATATGCACATAGTAGGGTAAATGGGTTGGACCACAGATGCTGAATAGCAGCGCTGTACCAGTTTTTATTGATCAAAATGCACGAGTAGAGGGTTGCGCTATTGTCCGAAAACTTATCTGTAATCATGGTAAGAATTTCGTGGGGTAGGAAACCGTCCATCTTTGGAAAACATGTAATCAAAGTGAGATGCGGGATTTACGATAGTAAGTTGGCCGGTGGCTATAAAGGAGGGTCGATCAATCGACCAATAGCCAATTGTTGACATATCGTTTGCGTCACTATAATCATTTGTGGTACATTCAACATCGTTTGTGTTTGAATGCCCAGACAATTTTAATTATTCTTCATTATTTGTTCACTAGTAGAAGACACATTATGTGATAGTAACTCCCTATACTACCATCGTTATTTGACAATTGCTGTATAGAGAATAACTCGTATTAACAGTAAATCATGATACAGTTAGATTCTTGTATTGATGGCTAAAGTTACCCATTGTTTGATAATTCCGCTATCGGGAATAATCCTATAATTATACATTAGTCAAAAAACAAATTTCGTAAACTCATTTTTTTTTGCGTTTTACAACAAATTCTCAGAATGCTTTTTCTGACCGATTTGAGCGACTGGTACTGCCTTTGTAAACGGTACTATAAACTTGCGCATCACAAGCAGTTTTTATTGCGTTGAAGTATATATGATCACCGTATATTGTCTGCTAACTTTATAGTAAGTAACCAAAATATCATTTTTGCATAACATTGTATATTACATGTCTTACCAGTAGATTTTAAAGTGATCATGGATATTTTCGATTTTTACATACCAGTTATATTTATATTGTCTTATTAACTAGATGCTGGTGAGAATTTGTCAAAATCGGTAATGGTTGTGGAAATATTAGAATGAATATTCACATTATTTCGTTCTCCTTTCCAAGGAATAACTCTATCCTAATTACTTGGATATTTTATTGGAGCTTAGTTCTATTCTGCAATTAAGCTCTGAATGATGTCATACATGATACTCGTGTCGACATGATTAAAAGACATGCACGCTCTCAATGGCCTACAGTTGTGACTCTGTTACTCCCGCACGAATTAAGTAAAGTTTAAACACATTAATCGCGGCACACTTGTGTAAACATTTTTCGAAATTACGCAACATGTTGATGTCTCCTTTCTCTATTCGCTTATAGTCAGTGCTCTTTGTTAAAGCTTTTTGGAAAGACAAAGGCTTAGTATAAGGAAGCCAACTGTATGTTTCCACAAGAAAAATTGCCAGTCAATCCTCGCTTTAATATTTTCTCTTGTTATGTGAAAAAAACTTAATTGTCGAGATATTTTATCTTACTTGATTTAAAACTATAGCAATCCGCTTGTTACAGCTTTAGTTTCTGTTCGCTAACAATTACGCGCAAGTATAAAACTGTAATTAGAACAATAAAAGTTATACACGTTGCTAAGTCTGACACTAATGAATTAATGTAATCGCAATATAAACAAGTTTATAAAGAAAGAGACTGTAGAATATCAAGTGCAGTAGAATTTAAATATACCAAACATTTATTTAATGAACTTGTTTATAAACAGCAATATGCATATTGCATATTATTATAATTTTTTTTGTTTTTCACATCCATTTCTTTTTTTTCCCCCATTAATATTAAAATACTATTGTTACAAATAGTACTACACTATTATTCTATATTTTGCTATTATTGCATAAATTATAATAATGACAGGTAGATAAATAATGAATAACTATCGCTCCCATCGGCATGCCAAGCAGCAAATTCACCATTCATCTTAACCAGCTTCAAGGACGGATCCTTCACAAATGACTAAGTAACCACCGAATCAGTCCCTCAAACTCAGCTCCACCTCCACCAGAGTCCCATTGGATCCGATCACCCAGCAAACCCACCAGGGAGAGAAAAAAGGGGAAAGAAAGAAAAAGCGAATAGAAAAATAGAGTTAGTTATACGTAAAGCAATGCGATACTCACCTTATACTTACCAAAACCTTCTACCCGTCATCTAAAGCTGTGAAGAAAAAGAAAAGAAAGAAAAAAAGGAAGATGTCTGAGAGTGTTCCGGGCATCCCCCATGACCCACTCAACAGACCCATGCCAGGATCCCTTCACCGCAGGCGAGCACTGGTGAAAGGGGTGAGTAGAGGAGCGTCACCGGTAACTACCCACCACCCGATCCAGATCCGCACCCATCCACCAGCAAAGACGAAGGCGAGCAGCCACCTAGTGAACCGGTTTAAAAGAGCAATAGTAATGACAAATTGTTAACTAATATTAGTTATATTATCTACCCCATTTAAACAAATGTTAATGTAAAAGAATTAAGTGTTAAAAGTTTGTTTGATGGTAAACTATGGAGCAAAGGATTGTTTGTTGTATCGTTAATGTTGTATTTGCGTTTTGAATGAAGAGAGGTTGTTGCAAAGCGGTTCATGCGCAATGGTCCGGGAATATGAGTCGACGTGTGCTCGAACATTTTCATCATCGCTTATGTGGTCGATAATCTATCGTTATTGGAAGATTGTCGTATGTGCAGCAATATGGTGTAGCAACAGATTGTTGGTTGTATATACACTTTGGAAGTAATAGAGAAACGTCTGGGTAATAGGCGTGTTTGAATTTTTTCATCAGTTTGTGGTCGATACATCGTGTCGATGTTGGAGGCCTTTGTTCGTGAGCTGCATCAAATTGTCGTAATATGGAATAATGTAGACGTTTACTGTATTAGTTGCGGTTTGCGTTGGAAAAAGAACTGTTGTAAAGCGATATGCCTGGACGTTATGTATCAGTAGGCGTGTGTTTGACTCTTAATCGCTTTGTTGTTAAAAGGCTTTGCTCGTTAGTTGCAACAAACTTTCGTATCCGCATAATAAGGCGTGGCTGCAAAAAATTGTTCGTAGTTTAACATTGTATTTGCGTAATAAACCGTGCTTTGTTGATAATTACAGCGCAATTGTTCATTGTCTGATGAATTGTTCGTGTGATATACATTGTTGTTTGACGGCTTGCTCGTATTGGTTATAAGAAATTGGATTGTTTGTAGCGTGTTAAAATAATGTTTGTATTGCGCTTTGGAGAGAGAAAAAAATTGTTGACAAGAGACGTATGCAACGATGGGGGGGGGGGGGAAAACCCCGAGTATATATGTGCGAGTAGACGCGTGTTCGCGTGCTAGATGACAAGGTGTCTCATGTTATCAATTGCGTCATACAAGTATAATGTTGTTATTGTTGTTGTTTACGTAATAAGGGGTGTGAAAATCAGCCAAGAGTAAAATAACACATCATGACATAATATCGCGATTGTCATAATTGTTTCCGTAAACAAAACAATAGTATCAGTGTAACTTCTCGGAGTGCACGCAGTAAAAAGTTTTTAACTGGTTAGATTTTATAATTGCCAGTGGCTAGTTGGAAAGTCACAGACTTTGCCACATCTCGTGTAAACAACAACAAACATTTATACTTGTAAGAAATATAGACAACGCGATTGATAACTTGTCATTTAACGCGCAACGCGCGTCTATTTACATATATATACTCGGGGGCTTCCCACATCGTTGCATACGTCGTTTTTCAACAATCTCTTTCTCTCTCCAAAGCGCAAATACAAACATCATCTTACATGCTACAAACAATCCAATTTTTATAACCGATACGAGCAAGCCGTCAAACAACTTACATACGAACAATCCATCAGACAACGAACAATTACGCTATAATTATCAGCAATCCCAGACTTCTGAATTTGAACGATCGCAATTCCCAAGTTACAACCACTGATCTGAAACGCACAAGTAATCGCAAGAAATGCCTGACATACTTGAATAATCGCAATCACTTCTGGAGAAGTATGAGTAATCGCAATTCCCGTACATTATAAGACAAATGCGAGTGGAGTGGTTCAGGTCCAGTGATCGCAACCCCACCAGTGAACTGAAATGCATGAGTGATCGCAATCCCCACACATTACAGATTTTAAGCCAAAAGGCTCTATCACAATACGTAATGCCTAATATAACTACATAAACAAATTGTTCGCTCACTTTCTTATTGCTTAATGCCCTTCAAAGTACGTTCGATTTGAAAGCTTCTTCGATAGTGGATGGTTATACTGTCAGAAATCATAGATGAGACATCAGGCAAGACGGTGGAAACCCCAGAAAAGCGGTCTACTAGCTGGAAAAATGTTACTATTGAAAACAGCAAACAGTAAGTTACAATGTATTAGAGTTCAGTTTTTGGTAGTTAACAAAACGTTATTATGAATAATGACGTCTCGATAACGAAGTAGGAAAAAAATAATTACAGGTCAATCTATTTCAAACTATAACTCTCTTTGCCCGATAGATAGTAGAAGAGAGTTGTTTACTTTTCATTATGTAGGACAGAAAGCGTAGTTTTTGTTACAACCGAATTTCAGCTGTCGACTTATAGGTGTACGAATATTTTTTTTGCACATCTGCAATATGAAATAACGACAAGGAATCGTTCATTGTACTCACGCTTTGAAAAAGAGTTGTTGCAAATGACGCGCGCGATAAAGAAAAGCATTGTTGTAGGTGCATATGTATAGTTTGGGAGTCGTATAAAAGCGTCATATACAGTATATAATTAATACGAATTATTTTCGTTCAATAACCTTGGTCGCGTAATTTCCTGGAACTGCAACAGAATAGAGGATAGAAGCGTGCGTAAGTATATTCGATTGCGCGCATGGTTATCTGCACAATTAGAGGTTTGAGTCTGTGGCACGTCATTACCTAATATCGCGATCGTTTTGTATAAAATGTTCTCACTGGTTAAAAGTCAGGAGAGGAGATAGTAAAAATCAGCAGTAATACGATACTGTTATGTCACAGCCACAAACAAGTTAACAATCAGGTTATCATGCGGTTTGTTAATTGATAAATAAATGACAATTTTGTCGTAAAAAATGTAACTGAACTAATTTAATAAACCACAAAATTGTAACTTTTATGCTGAAATGTTCTGGCGTACTCATTCAAGATCAATAAAAATTTAAACATATCTGCAGATTTATTTATAAATTCAGGTGTATGTTTACAAGTAAATAATAAAACACATTCTTCAAAACAAAATAGAACAGTCATAACTTCTAAAAAG